GCATATTCTCCAGATGTCCCTGGAAGGGGGATGGTATCTGGCCCTCGGCCCCCAGCTCTGGTCTGCCTTGGGGTGTTTTCACACCTATTGTCCCCCACTTAATGGATGAACAAACTGAGGTATGAAGCCACCTGCCCCTAGGGCTATTCACAAAGACTAACACAAAAGTCTGCCTTCCCCCATCTACTTATTGGAGCCCCCAAAGCTAGGTGCTGGCCAGGCAGCCTGTTCTGTCCCTGGGGTGGTGAGGGGGTGAAATGGGGAGGTTGGGGAGAGCAGAGGCCAGGTTGGGCTAATGGGAGGACCTGCAGCACTCACCAGTCTTGATCTTCCCTCCCTCAAGTGAGAGCTCAGTCAGTCTCAGGAGGATGGAGTGTGCCCAGGAGTCACGCGGGTGGGGCACAGACATGCAGGGGGAGTGATCAGCAGCACCAAGGTGCTAGGTGGGCAATGGAGGGTGTGGGCAAGGAGGGTGAGAAAGCTAAGCCCAGGATTTGGACACAGAGAAGAGGCCCCATTCACTTATTCTTTCAAGAAGCGTCTATGGAGCCTCGGAGCAGAGCTCACCACCAGCTTCCAGAAGGGTTTTTAGCTGTCCAGCCCCTCCAACCCTCCAGGATTTCCTCCCCAAATCCAGCTCCTGTCCATTAGGACCCCAGACCCCAGCCCTCCCAAGTGGTGAGAGGCTGGGGTCAGGGCAAGGTACAGGCTGAGCAATTTGGGGGGAACCCATGGTGGGTCTTGTCCCCCAGCCCACTCCCCTCAGGCTGTGTGTGGCCCAGCCACAGTGACATTCATCCCTCGGTGGGTCTGGCCTCCGTCCTCACAACCCACCGACAACAATGAATGTTGATTGTGACTTTCTCTGTGGCCTAAAGGAGGGGATATGATCAGGTAGGACCCAGCCCCCCAGATCTGGAAGGTGGGGGGTCACGATGGCTGGACGGCACTTCCAGGCCTCGGGGTCCACTCAACGGTCGATGGTTTGCCTGAGCTGCCCAAACTCACCGACAGGTTGAATGTTCCCCCAAGCCCTTGGCAACTTCTTGGTGGTGGTGGTGGTGGTGGGGTGTCCCAGAGTAGAGGGTGGGGTGCAAGGAACCAGAGAGGTGAGGGAGGGAGGGATCTATTAACTCATTAAGTAAGCAAACAGTAGGTGCCAACTGTCTGTTCCATGACCTGGAAAAGCATGACATTAATATAACTAGTTGTAACAGTAGATGTTTATGTAGTTTTGCTACATGGATGTGGCAATACCCGGGTGCTGGGCTCCCTGCTCCATGCATGTACTCACATCATCCTCAAAGGGGCCCTAGGATGGTGCAGATGTGGCCCATTTGTCAGTGTGGAAGACTGAGGCCAGAGGGCACTACTCCTAGTGGCCCCAAGACGCGTCTGGCTGCCTTGCATGGGGAGGGGGGAAGGAGCATCATTCAACAGAGAGATAAACAAGTCATTTTAATACAATGTATACCTTCCACAAGCCTCACTGTGTTCCTGGGCACAATTGTTTATGAATCACAACAAACCCTGGGGGTCATCATCCTTCACTTTGCAAATGCAGGCCCGCCCTTTGGCCTACTTGCCCACTTGCCCACTGGACAGGGGAGAAGCGAGAGGATGTCAGGGGACGCCTGGAGCCCTCCTGCAGGGTCTCAAGGCATCTGAACTCGGGCCCTCGGTGATGTAACCGTGCAAGGTCGCTCACCCTCAAACCTCAAAATACACTGAGGGCAAACAGCTACTTGGACTCCAACTGCAGCAAGATGCTGCCCCCTCCTCATTTCCTCCCGGTAGAAAGGGCTTCCAGTCCTTCCCTCCAGGGGCCGAGCACAGTTGGGTGCCCATCCCTCGGGTGCCCCCAGGCATGGCAACACCTGGGTCCACAGACTGTGAGGACGCCCTGGAGAGGTTTCTTCAAATTTCCTGTCCCCTCCCATTTCACTCAGGGGAAGGTGGCGCCCCAAGGAACCCCTTGACATATCCTAAGGAGGATCAGGACCCCGAATATGCCAAGTTTGAAGGAACCCTGAAATGTCCCTGATGTAGTTGACCTGAGCCAGCACAGCCCCTCAAACCCCTCCCTCAAGACCCCACCCAGATCCTTCCCCAGGAGACCCGCCCCCTTAAGGCCCCCACATATTGCCAGTCCCTAGGTCCCTCCTTCTAAAGCCCGCCCATAGAGATTCCCATGGAGCCCCCCACCAAACTCAACCCCATAAAACCTGCCGCCTAAGCAGGTCCTCAAAGAGCCCAGCTCCCCTAAAGGCCTCTTCCCAGGCCCCGCCCTCTGAGCCTAACCCTTGTGGCACCCCACATTTTGTTGGCCCCAGGGGGGGCCAAGGTCACAGAGGCCCGTCCCTAGGACCCTCCTCTGAAACCCTCCTGCCCAGACTCCCATGGACTGTGACCCTAGGAATCGCCAAGGCCGCCCCTTGGAGCCCAACCCCCTTAAGTTCTGCCCCGACAGGACCTGCCCCCAAACTGGAGCCCCTCGGAGCCCGACCCCCGCAAGACTCGCCCATGAAATTTCCCCAACGCATGAAGCCCTTTCCCCTAAGCCGGGCCTCTCGTCCAGGCCGGGGTCCAGTCAAGTTCGCACCCCTGTCGGGAGCGCTAGGTGGGGGGCCTCCCAGGGGCCCACCCGCCCAGCCATCAGGGCCCCCATTCAGGGGTGGGTGGGCCGCGGCCCGGGCTCCTCCCCTTTTCTCCTGCCTTGGGGATGGTAGTCCTAACGAGGGAATGCCTAGAACCCTGGGGAGGGGGGGAGGGGGGAGCCTGGAGCGTGGGTTGGGAAGAGAGATAGTAATAATAATAATAATAATAATAATAATAATTGTTTACATACATCACCCTATTATTAGGATACTCATTTTACAGATGAGGAAGGTGATGCTCTGAGAGTCTGGTAACAACTGTTGAGGTTCCTCAAAAGCTTTGTTCTTGGTGACCATGAAGCTAGAATGCGAGGTCATCAGACCACATACAGAGGTCTGACCACACTGAGGGTCCCCTGAGACACCCTGTGCCTTCTCTCCCCTGGCTTCCCTGAGGGCACTGGTCTTTTATTTTTTAAGTAAAATTGTTGGTTTTTAAATTGATTTGATAGAGAGCGGGAGAAACATCGATTTATTGCTCCACTTATGCATTCACTGGTTGCTTCTTGTATGTGCCCTGATGGGAGATGGGACCCACAGCCTTGGCTTATCAGAGGACGCTCTAAGGGCACTCACTGATCTTGACCTACCAAAGAGGGAGGTCCCTGCAAGGGGTTTCCCCCAAATCGGCCGGGACAGGCCGGTCCCGGCCATCAGCCCCGCGCCCCGTCCTGTGGGGAGGAGTTATCTGGGGCCTGCCCCGGTCGGTCTCCCTTTGTCTGCGGTGGTCTGCGAAGCTTCCCGCCCTCGCCCTCCGTGTCCGTCTGGGTCTGCCCGTCTGGGTCCGCCCGTGCCCCTGTCCGGCCTGTATCTGACCGGGTCTCCCGCTCTGCGAGCGCTCCTGTTCCTGGCCGCCTGGGTCCGCCTGTGGTTGTCTGACCCTTTACACCTGATCTGTGTGTCCGCCTGCCCCCCTCAACGTCTGCGTCTCACTGTCTGAACTTGGACCTTGGGGGGTGGGCGCCGACTGTTCCTCTGCCTCCATCTGACTTTGAAGCCCAGCAGGGTGGGTGGAGCTGCCTCCTCCCACTCCCAACCATAGGCCCTGGTGCAAGGCAGGGGTGCCCTTCAGGGCCATTTTGACCCTCATTCCTCTTCTTGCTGGGACCCCCAGCCCTGCCACACCTGGCGGGGGGCTGGGAATGAGTGGGGTGAGAGGAGCCTTCCAGAAGCCACACTGGCCCAAGGCCCGCCCCCACCCCCACTTTGAGCTCCAGGAAGGCAGGGCAGCTGGTGCAGGTCTGGGGGTCAGGGTCTGAGGTGAGAGGGTGATGGATGGAGGCAGCTCTGCCATCAAGTTGAAGAAGGGGGAGTGTCTCTGTATGGATGTCGTGCATATGTGTCCCTGTGTGTGTCCCAGTGTGCAGTGTGCGTATGTCCTTGTGTGTGTGCATGGACCTGTGGGGAACATGGGGGAGGACGTAGTCAGGGCCTGGCAGACAAAGAGCCCCTTATGAGGGTACGGTGACAGCACACATGGGGGTTCCCAAGTGGGGTCGGGCTGATGGCCCAGACTGTCTAGACGGCGGGCAGGGGGCTCCTCTTTTCCCTCATAGCTGCATGGTCTCTCAGGTTCCCACTCTGCCATCGCCAGGCCAGCTCCGGCTTCCTCTGGCTGCTCAGGCCTTTTCATGCGGGGTCCTCAGACAAAGGGCTCCTCTGTCTCACCCAGACCTGGGGTGGCCAGAGGGCCAGGAGCCCAACTTCTTTCCCAAGCCCACCAGGGCTGGGGTAGGCAAGAAGCCTCTTCTCCGGGGTTAGGGCCTGGGGCCGGTTGATGGGAAATTTAGGCGCTTCTGTGACTCAGGGTGCAGGGCAACCCTGTGTCTAGGTCAGGTGGGTTCAATCTGAAAACACAAGCAGCAGCTGCCTATGGGCCTGTTACTGGGGAGCTGCCCTGGTTTTGGGGTCCAAGCTATTCAGGTGGGCAATTCTGGATGTCTATGGGTGTCTGTAAATCCAGGTGTGTGTGTGTGTGTGTGATAATGAGCAGCTGTCTCTTGTGCCAGTTGTGTGTATATCGGGCGTGTGTTGGTGCTCCTGTGGGCTTATTTGTGTATGGATGTCTGTGTGACTGAGTGTGTGTCAGGCTAATTGTGGGTAATTGCAGGTCGATGTGTGAGCCAGTGTACATGGTGTCTGGCATATGTTAGTGTCCCTGAGAGTGACTGTAGTTTGTGTGTCATCCAACTGTTGGGCCCCCTACCTCTCTTACTAAAATGTCAGCTCTAAGAGGCAGGGATTTTGATCTCTTGTACGCCAGCACTAGAATGGTGCCTGGTACATAACAGATGCTCACTAAACAGGCATTGGAATTATGGCCATCCAGGTGACTGGATTTCTGAGTGTCCCTGTGTCATTTTCCCTGTAGATCTGTGTGTGTGAAGGTGCATATGTTACTGTCTCTGTCTGTGTGTATTATTGCAGGTGTCCAGGTGTATAACCAAGTGTTAGGGTAGGTGACTGTGGGTGTAGGTATTATTGGAAGGTTCATATCTGTTTGTGGGTGACAGTGTCATAATGGGTGTCTAGGAGGATCGTTTTACCATGGGCAACCAGGTGTCAGCATGTGTTGCTGTGTTATCTGTGTGTCTGTCTAGATTAATATACCTGATATCAGCATCTGTACAGGCCTGGTACCATCTGTGTGTGTGCGAGTGTATGTGTGTGTGTGTGTCAGGTTGCCTGGATGACTGGGTGGCTGTGGGTGTGTCTTTGCTTGGGCAGGCACATGCGTGTCCATGTCTATGTGTCTGTTTGTACTTCTGTCAGGGTGTGTAACATCTGCGGTTGATCTGAGGATGGGGATGCTGTATGTCTGTACGTCCTGGGTGACAGCGGTGGGTGCCCATCCCAGTGTCTGTGTGTGTGGTAGAGAAGTGTGTTATATGCAAGGCCGTGTCTATGCCACGGCCACCATCAGGGGTGGCTGCATTTTCCTATGTGGCAGTGTTTTCACAGGATGTCCCATCGCTGGGTGATGTGTGCGCCCATGTGGCAGTGTTATTGTGGGTGATGTGTGTGTGCATGTGTGTATCAGCGTTCCTGCAGGTGATGTGAGTAATGAGGATGCTGTATGTCCGTGTGGAGTGTGTGAATTTGGGATTCTTCATCAGTGATGTGGGAATATAACTGTGGCCCTGTAAATGCATCTGTGGGCTGTCCAGGGGTGTGGGGCTTCGGTGGGCAAGGAGACGGCGGACTGAAGAGTAGTGGGGGGGCGGGGGCACTTCACAGCTCCCATCAGTCCAGGAGAGAGAGGTCTTCCCATCCTCCACCCCCAGCATGCCTTCTAGGGCCGTTCCCTGGGAAAGGGTCCCTGTCGCTTTAAAAGGACTCCCCAGCAGGGGATTCGGGGCCATTTTTCCTTTTTAGGGCCAGTTTTGGAGGGCGTGTTCCTGTTAGCAAACCTTGGCCCCAGTAAATACCCTGCAGCCACCGCCGGTACTGACAGACTGGCCGGGAGCAGGAGGAGGGCCGCCGCG